TGTCAAGGACTTCATTCTTCTTGGATCAACTATCAACACTCATGGAAGCAGCAGTCAAGAAATCAGACGACGTATTGCATTGGGCAAATCTGCTGCACAGAATTTTTTTAAAGTGTTGAAGAGCAGAGATGTCAGTTTGAGGACTAAGGTGCCTGACCCAAGCCATGGTATTTTCAATAACCTCATATGGATGCGAAAGCTGGACAGTGAATAAAGATCATAGAAGAATCGATGCCTTTGATTTGTGTTGTTGGAGGAGAATACTAAAAGTGCCATGGACTGCCAAAAGAACCAATAGATCTGTTTTGGAAGAAGTGTAGCCAGAGTGCTCCTTGGAAGCCAGGATGGCTAAGCTTCATCTCTCCTACTTTGGATACATTGTCGGGAGGGAACAGTCGCTGGAGAAGTATGTCATGCTGGGTAAGGTGGAGGGTCAGAGAAAAAGAGGAAGACCTCCAACGAGATGGATCAGCCAGGTGACATCATTCATGGCATCAAGTGTGGCAGCAGTAGTGAGGTTGGCCCAGGATCGGACATTGTTTCATTCTGCTGTGCATAGGGTCACTATGAGTCGGTTCCAACTCGATGACACCTGACAACAACAAGGTAGGAATAAGGAGTTAAGCAGCTCTGATGGCTTAGTGCGTTACATGTTGGACTCTTAACTGCAAGGCAGTAATTTGAATTCAGTAGGAGCTCCTTGGGAGAAAAAGGAGGCTTTCTGTTCCCATAAAAATTTACAGCCTCAGAAAAGACTTGATGGCACACAGCCAGCCAGGAATAAGGAGTTAGGGTTAGGACCATGGCTAGGTCTAGGCTAGGCCTAGGAACTCATTTAATATTAGGGTTATAATTAGGACAAGGGATAGTGTTAGGGATAGGGACTGGGCTAGGGCTAGGGCTAGCAGTAAGATTCAGTCTAGTTTTAGGGTTGCAGTTAGGCTTTTATCTGTCTGTCTGTTCTTCAAATCTGCTTGATTTCCTCTTCATTTGTATGTTATACAATTACAATATTCTATCTTTTTACTTTGTTTTGTGTTGTATTGCAAACTGGTATCTCTGGCTCCCTATTTTCAGTCTTGTAGGTTTGTTTTACTTTAAATACTTCTATATCTGTGTGGATTCCTGGTGTGATGATGTAGGAAAAGCACTAGACTGCAAACCACAAGGTCTACGGTTCAAACCTACCAGCTATTCCTCGGATTTGATGGAAAGTTTTGCTAGGTAAATGATTCTTAGTTGGCAATTTTTTTTCTTTCAGTGTTTTATACATGCCATCCCATTGTCATCTTACCTGCATGGTTTCTACTGAAAAATCAGAATTGAGTCATATAAGGTAACTTTTCATTTTTCTCAGGAATTTCTATGAAGTTTTGAAAAGTTTGATGATGTCTTAGTGATTTTCTTTTTTAGGTCTATCCTGTTTGGAGTTTTTTCAACTTCTTGAATGCATATCTTCTCGTCTTTTATGATAATAGGGAAGTTTTCTTCCAACAACTCTTCAGCAATTTTCTCAGTTTTTTTTTTTTTTTTTTTT